GCCATACAAAACAACAGAAAAATTCACTGTTTGTTATCAAAACAATGCATATTTTATAAAAAAGAAGAAGACAATTGTAAATTTAATATGAAAATTAATGAAAACTTAAATTAAAAACAAAAAAATGTATTTTGAAGTGTCCATAATTTATACTAATCAATAAATAGAACATTTTAATGTTTATATTTATAAAAATATTATTAATTTTTTTACATCAGCTTTTTACACTTTTGTATTTCTCTAGTACTTGAAACCGATCAATGGTGGTCTAAGACATCACTTTGGTATAAAGAGATTAATCATGAAAGAATTAATATCAGAAAATACCATAACATAAACATTAAGGAAAACATTAATACCAAAGACTGTCAGAAATTTTTAAGACTTAGGCTAGGTCATATATTAATAACTAAAAAATATTTAATAAATCCTCATATTTCTAATCAATGTTCTTATTGCAGAACTGGAACAATATCCATCAAACATATCCTAATCCATTGTACTACATTTATTTCAACCCGTAACTATATGTTCAATATGTATCCTGTTCGATTTCTTTCCAACCCTTCCATTAACAACATCAAAACTATTATTAATTTCTTAAAATCAACTAATATTTATAAAGACATATAAACACACAAACATACTATTTTCCATATATCCAATACTCACTATTAATCTACTAATTTTGTATATACTTATAAGTAAGACATTATATTAGAAATCTATTATATCTATTATATAATCTATTATATTATATGTAATTATTGACTATTTGTATTTACATTTCCTCTAGCTGAAGGCCTTAGTTGCCATTAAATAAATAATGGTATACGCACAATTGGGACGAACGACGAATTTCGTATAGCACGACGAACTAGTCGACAACAATTCGTTGCGTAAATTCGTCGAATGAAACACAATCAAATTATTCGTACTGCGAATTCGTTTCAAAATTTGTTTGTTCGAAATTGGAAAAAGTAAGAAAAAGGAGCAAAAATTTTATTTTTGTGAATCTCCACGATTTTGGGATAATTTTAACAGCTTTAAAATTTATTCGAAAATTATTTCGAAATTAGAAAATGTAAGAAATTGGCCTCGAAAAGAACTAAAATTGTATTTTTGTGAATATCCCCAATTTTGAGATTATTTTATCAGCTTTAAAATTTTTTCGAACATTACTTCGAATTTTCGAATATAATTTCGAATATTCGAACATAATATCGTATTGTCATTAGCTGTACTCACAACCGCCAAATTTCAGCAAATTAGGGCTACCGGAATTGGTCTTAAAACAATTTTCCCCAATTAATTCGTCGTTCGTCTGCGTAAGAAATAGAAATAAACCTATCGCATAGTTCGTTACGTACGACGAATTTCGTCATACGCAATGATTGTGTACATTTTCATATACCCAAGCATATAGTAGGGATATAGGCGAAACTGAAGGGGTTGTCAAACAAAATTTGTTATTCTCTTCACACAGACGAGTTCTGAGAGAATAAAACAAACTTGACTTAAACTTAATATTATTTTTTGCCACACTTTTATTGTATTTAAAACCCCGAAAATAATTTATATTTTACAAACGAAAAAAAAAATATTTTTTATTCTTTGACATTTCATTTTAATTAAAACTGAAAAAAATAAAAGTTGTAAACTTTCGTATTGAAAATGAAAAAAGTATTTCACATACTTTTTTTCTTTTTTCATTAGTGCCGAAAAAATAACAAAAAGACGTGTTTATAATATGTTTTAAGATGAAATATCTTCTGAAAAAAATTTATTAACTATTATTTTTATTCACTAGTATATAAAATCCCAATAATAACATACAAAAAATAACGTATCAGCAATACATTTATTATTTAGTACCTTTTGAACAACTGTGTTTATTTTTGTGCTTCTACTTACATTCTCACCTCAGTAAACTACAACCCAGTAGGATTTTGAGTCAACTTAAAACTAACTTATGGTTAACCACAAATGAGTCAGAGGTGACTCAAAAGCTAACCATTTTGCTTATAAAATACTATTCAGTTTTTCAATGTGATGTCATAGGAACGAGTCAGTACTCACTCACTATACATCAGTTTCAGTTAACCAGAAGTTACCTCAAGATGAGTTAGCTTCTAGTGCATAAATAAAAGATCAGCTGTGAGTTACCTGTGCAATTTTCTCATATTTTTATACTATTTTTAACAAATTGTTAGTGATTATAAATGCGTTTAATATGCAGCAACATTTCCTTCCTATATACACCATTCTCTATGTCTTATATTCCTGAAAATGTTAATTTAATAATAATAAATTCATTTTTCATTGCTGAAACAAATTTTCATTTTCATAATTTCATTTTTTCAATACAAATTGTTTGACAAATTTGATACGAGTTTCTATTTTATTTTTTATTTAAAATTTTATTGAAATGTTTGTTCATTTCCTCGATCATTTTTGAGTTACTTTGAAGCTAGTCATAAGAAGTTATCAAAAAGTTAACTTGATTTTTAGTTAACTCACAAAATCCTACAGGGAAGTAACTCAAAACAAGTTACTTAAAATGTTGTGATGATATTGTCACAAAGTATACAGAGGTGTCACTTTTGACATTTAAAAAAGTCTAAAATCAGCTTTTGTTTGATTTTGAAATTGTTTGGTGAGAAGAGGTATATAAAATACAGCTAAAAAAATTATTGAATTCGTTTTGTGCGAAAGAGAGGGAAATAGTTTTTTGCTCGTGACGCCTCTGTATACCCTGTGATATTGTTTAGACCATGATTTAAAAAATAGAAGTTTGTTTAAATTTTATTTGTTTGACAACAATGTAGATTTTTGAAGTTTATTTTACTTGTAAATATTCAAAGGGATCTTTGCCACATCTAGAAAATGATTTTGAGGAGTTTTTAAACAAAGATGTGTAATTTATTAATAAAAAAAATTTTTTGTACTAACAAGAGGAACGGTAAACTATTTAGTGTTTCTTTTCCTATTATCCTTTCTCATTATTGCGAGTTAACAGAATGTGTATTAAATTCGGCTATAGCGAATCTTATATAACCACAATCAAAACATGTATTACACTTTGGAATTTCGGTCATATATGTAATGGACTCTCCCTATCATGATTAAATTGACGGACAGACATGTCTATATCATCTTAGGGCTCATATACATACATATAAATACTATTTTGGTTTTAAAACTACAATTATTAACAAGGGATTGACAGATACTTTATGTATATTTCTTGATGATGGGTTTAATAAACTTAACATGCGTAAATGGCTTGTTCCACAATGCAACAAAAGCTGTAATAAAGAAACATTCTTTGAGAAAAAGAACACCGAAAAATGTCATTGTTAGAAGAAGAGACTCCTGTCTGCATCTGCATTTTGTTTTCCCATGACATTAAATGCTTCTTGCTCTCTTAACAATTTATTAAATTGTCGCAGTAAACCTCCATTAAGTATTCCACATGGTTCGCTCCTCATTTAAAAATATTATTTTGATTGAAAATAATTTTGTTGATTAAATTGTGGTTGTTTTAAAGAAAATATTTTTATTTGATATGAGTTTTTTGAAATATATGAAAAATTGAATTAAATATTAATATGGTAGCATTACTTTAAACATAAACTTCAAATCGCCTTAATTGTCAGATGATTAATCAGGCTGACATAAATAGAAATTGAAACTACCTTGTTTAGACTTTTCTTTTGACCTGTTTATAAAATTGACATTTTTGCCAGTACATAATAATAAATTGTTTAGCATTTTCTTTTGACCTGTTTATAAAATCGCAAATTTTGCCAGTACATAATAATTAATAATTTTTTATATTACATAGCAATAATTATTCAAATTTTTTAATTATTTTTCATACCCAGCAAAAAGTGTGGAAAAAGATGTAGAATTTTCATCACAACTAGTAACCCGAAGTGCTTCAAATTCAGGTGAAAAGCCTATGAATTTTACATTAGCGTGTCATTGTAGGGATGTTGTTCATTTTTGACAACTTTAAACTACATCTAATCTTATCTTTAGAAGCTGTAAAAATCCGATATTTGTATGTCAAAAATAAACCACATTTTTTCAAAATTTGAAGTACTTCGAATATGTTGTTTGTAGTGACTTTTCTACATCTCTTTCCCTATTTTTAACTGTGTTTTCATTTGTAAGGATATGTTTGGTTTATAAAAGCGATAAGTATGCAATCGCATTTTTAGATGTGATTAAGATGTCGTTTGTAAAGTATGACATCAATTATTTTTCGCTGGGTATGTATGTAGGATTTTTAACCAATTCTAATAACAATCAACCAAGCTAATTCCTGCATGAAGAAAAGACGTGACAAAATTTATTCAATTGGCTGCTATAGTTTCTGAAAAAATTAAGAATGAGAAAAAACGAAATATTGTCATCTATTGTTTTGGAATTTCGCTCATACCCAGCAAAAAAAGTGTGGAAAAAGATGTAGAATTTTCATCACAACTAGTAACCCGAAGTGCTTCAAATTCAGGTGAAAAACCTATGAATTTTACATTAGCGTGTCATTGGAGGGATGTTGTTCATTTTTGGCAACTTTGAACTACATCTAATCTTATTTTTAGAAGCAGTAAAAATCCGATATTTGGATGTCAAAAATAAAACACATTCTCTTAATGATAGGCTTATGTAAATTTCACTACTCTTTCACCAAATCTTGATGTACTTCAAATATGTTATTTGTAATGACTTTTCCACATCTCTTTCCTCACTTTTAACTGGGGTTTCATTTGTAAGGAAATATTTGGTTTATAAAAGTGAAAAATATGTGATCGCATTTTAAGATGTGATTAAGATGTAGTTTGTAAAGTATGACATCAATTATTTTTTGCTGGGTATCTCCGTTATTTATGGACCGATTTTACTATTCAAAATAGGAAGCTTCTCGAAAGCATAAATATCTAGTTGATTATTGAATACTTAAATTATTGCTTTACGGTTTTTATTTAACTTACCTAAATTTGTATATGTAAACGATCCACCACTCATTCCTGTTCCTACATTGGTTGTACTTGTATTGGATAAACCAACTACAACATTGGCATTATTTTCTGTTTGTATTTGTTTACTACCATTATTGCGTAAACTATGTAACGCCTCCTCAAATCCTTTCCCGAATGCCTCTTGCTCAGAAGTTACTGCAGATGATTTTGCTTGGTATATTAACCCAGGTTGTGGCGTTGGTAATAAATGAAGCAATTTTTCCAAATCTGGAGTGGTAAGAGGTTTAACTGCTTGCGCATCTGGTGAAGCAATAATAAGTGGAGATGGTGGTACTAAACGCTGCTTTTTTGATGAGTTTTTTAAATCTAAAGACATAGGACGTTTATTGATGTTATTGTTTGAATTAACCAATGTATTTGGTTGTTGAAAATGTAATTCCTCATTATCCTTTGCAATTGTTAACGGTTCAGTTTTTACAGAAATATTACTATTATTTCCCGAACAATCTGAATTTAATGACTTCATTTCTATGACGTCACCACAATATTATGGTAGTATCAGGATTTAATATTTGATTCTAAAACAATTAGTTAAGAAATTATATTTAAATATCGTAGTATTATTGAAATTTTATATATACGTATAAAGACTCAAAGGAAGAAAAATTAATAAATTTATTTACAATTATATTATGACTAATATAAATATATGTATACTAATTAGTGCCAGACTTAAACATATACTCAACATAGTTGCCAGTAGGGTTCTATAGTTGAAACGAAAGTCGACTTTTCGACTTTTTCATTCAGTTAAAAGTCGACTTTTCGACGCACATAAAGAAAACAACCCGACGAAAAAGAAAACACACCGTAACAGCTGTTTTATCAAAATAAACATTTTTTTTGGTGTGGTGAGTTATTTTTGTTTACAAATATATGTTTCTGCACGTGGAAAAGACGAAAAAACTCGTTTTCATTATTTACATTTTTAATATGTGTTTATGCACGTGGAAAAGATTCAAAAAAATTGATTTTCATGATTTACTTAAAAAAAAATATTTTTGATCAATTAAAATATGTATACATTTTTTGTAGATTTAATACTAATTGTAACATCATTATTATAGATATAAGATAAAGTATTTAAAATACTACTAAATAAACGAATAATAATAATAATAATATAATATAAATGTGAAAAGGAACAAATCTGATAAAATATAAATATATTTGGGATTATATCGTTACAGAATGCCTTTTAATAAAAACATTCAAAAAACGTTACTATGGTCAAATATAGAAAATGATATATAAATGCTATCGGACAATATAGAACTTTAAGTTGGAAGTGTAGAAATCGGATGGCATACATTTTTTCCGGATTTCATCGTTCTAGGGTGTGTACTACAACAACATACTTTTTTTTACACAAAATGTTTTATGGCCGTATATATAAAATGATATATAACTGCTATCGGATGATCTTGTGCACGATAAAGCCTATATAGAACTTTAAGTTGGAAGTGTAGAAATCGGATGGCATACATTTTTTGTAGATTTAACCGTTCAAGGGTGTGTACTACAACAACAAACTTTTTTTTACAAAAAATGTTACTATGGAAATATATATAAAATGATATATAACTGCTATCGGAGATCTTGTGCATGATGAAAACCTATATAGAACTTTAAGTTGGAAGTATAGAAATCGGATGGCATACATTTTTTCGTAGATTTCATCGTTCTAGGGTGTGTACTACAACAACAAACTTTTTTTTACAAAAAATGTTACTATGGAAGTATATATAAATTTATATATAACTGCTATGGGACGATCTTGTGCACGATAAAAATCTATATAGAACTTTAAGTTAGAAGTATAGAAATCGGATAGCATATATTTTTTCCGGATTTCATCGTTCTAGGCTGTGTACTACAACAACAAACTTTTTTTTACAAAAAATGTTACTATGGCCGTATATATAAAATTATATATAACAGTGAAGTTATTTTATTTGATAAAAAGATTTATTGATTAACATAACTTCTTCATACAAAATTTATTTCTTTATGAAAAAATTATAAAGACAAGTTTGAAAATAAAAAAATATAAAACTTGAAGAACTTTAAAGGGTCCTTCATAAGGGCATTCTAAACTGTTCGGTCTAAGTATTTTAACAAAAACATATTCACAATTCCACAGATCTTTAGGTATAAAACAATTATTACTATTACTATGATGAATAACTTCACTTTGAACTGTATTAAAATGTAATCTTAATCTTTGAAGTAGTTCATCAAAAGTTGGAATATTGTTATTTTTAACTACCAAATCACCAGGTAGTCTCAACGTTTGACCATAAACTAATTCAGAAGGACAACATTTGAATTCTTCCTTTATTGTTGATTGAATTCCCAACAAAATAATGGGTAATTGTTCAGACCAATTTTTCACATTGTTACTAGATTTAAAAGCAGTTTTTAATTGTCGATGAAAGCGTTCAATCATTCCATTCGCTTGTGGGTGATAACAAGATGTATGGATTTTATGTGTTCCTGTAAGTTTCGTTAAATCACTGAATAATTTAGAATAAATTGTGTTCCTTGATCAACCGTAATTTTTAGTGGAACGCCAAACCTAGGGATATAATTGTATGCGAAAGTATTTACTATTGTTTGGACAGAAATATCTTTAATTGGGTATGCTTCAGGCCACCTAGTGAATCTGTCAATTATTGTTAAAATATATTTATTTCCATTTGAAACTGGAAAAGGCCCGACAATGTCCATGTGTATGTGTTCAAACCTTGCTTGTGGAATACTTATTTTCTCAATGTCAGATTTAGTATATCTTTGGATCTTTGATTTTTGACAATCGATGCAGTTAGAAGCCATAAAATTTATATCTTTTCGAATTGATGGCCAGAAATATTTACTTTGTATCAGTTTTCGAGTTGCACGAATTCTTGGATGTGATATAGAATGTAAATTATGAAAAACTGTTTTTCTTAAGGAGAGTGGAACAAAGGGACGATTAGTTTTATCTAAAATATCACACCATATTTTAAAATTATGTGATGGAATATCAACTTCTTTCAAATTATGTATTTTTCGTTTTCTTATCACTTATAAGATTTTTTAATTCCTCATCTGCTTGTTGTTCTTTAAAAAGTATTTCAAGATTAATGTTTTGATTGGAAAAGCAAAAATTTCAGGTGGTTTAGAAAGTGTATCCGCTACAATATTATCCTTTCCATTTATAAAACATATATTTGAAGTATTCTAAATGTCGTGTTTGTCGTGGAGATCTTTCAACTTTAGAATCCAAAACATATGTAAGAGGCTTGTGATCTGTTAGAATTGAAAATTCTCTTCCCTCTAAGAAGTGTCTAAAGTGTTTTACGGATGAATAAATCGCTAAAAGTTCTCTGTCAAATGTAGAATACTTGCACTCTGTTGGAGTTAATTTTCTAGAAAAATATGCAAGTGGTTAAACTTTATTGTTTTTACGTTGTTGTAAAACAGCTCCAATGGCTAAATTAGAAGCATCTACAGCTAAAGTTAGGTAAGCGTTTTTATCAAAATGAGTAAGTAAAGTTTTCTCTGAAAATTTAACTTTCAATAAATCAAAAGCTTTTTCAGCATCAACATTCCATATTAGTTCTTTGCTGTTCGTTTTAGAAGCTTTGGTTATTATTTCATGAAGAGGCGAAAGAAACTTGGCAACCATTGGTACATATCGATGATAATAGTTTATCATTCCAATAAATGTTTGTAGTTTTGTTATCGAATTTGGTTTTTGATATGAAAGGATTGCATTAATTCTTTCATTGGATGGTTTGATATCCTCAGCAGAAATTTGATAACCTAAAAATTCGAGACTTGATACTCCAAAAATGCACTTTGACGATTTGATATTGAGACCATATTCGTCAAAACGCTGAAAAACTAGTTTTAGATGTTTCAAGTGTTGTTCTTCATTTTCGCTAGCAATTAACACGTCGTCAATATAAGTGAAAACAAAATCTATATCAAAGAAAACTTCATCGATAAATCTTTGGAATGTTTGTGCACTGTTTCTAAGACCGAAAGGCATTATAGTAAATTCAAACATCCCAAAAAGTGTAGTAACGGCTGTTTTATGAATATCATCTGCAGCCATGGGAATTTGATGATATGCTTTTTTGAGAAGATTCTCTTACCTCTAAAATCTGTTGTAAGATCTTGGTTCCTTTTTTGGAACGAGATGAAGGGGGGAAGATATATATGAATGAGATGTTCTACAAATACCAGATTCTACCAAAAATTTTAATTCGGATTTTGCGATTTTAAATTTTAAAGGATCTAATCTGCGAGGTTTTGAAAAGGTTCAATTCTGTGAACTGTATTATGTTTAATTGGTTTCGAATAATCTGGCTCAGCAGTAATTGAAGGAAATTCTGTTAAAAGTTTAAGGTATATGTCCTTAATTGGTAAGATTTTAGGTGAATGTATTTCTGAAATTGCTAATGAAGCAATAGTAGAAATATTTGTATTTGAATCTTTAATTATTTATTTTTAACATCTATAATAATACCGAATTTTTCAAAAAAATCGGATCCTAATATAGGGCGTGAAATATCAGCTAAAATGAAAACGAATTCGAAAGTTCGATTAAGACCTAAATTAAGTATCAATGATTTTGTTCCATATGTATTAATAATAGAACTGTTAGCTGCAGACAGTACTATATCTGAATTGTTTTTGAATTTACTATATTTGGATGCAGGAATTACTGACACTGCTGCACCGGTATCAATTAAAAATCTTAAATTATTATACATCTTAATAAATATACAGCTAATAGGTCTAACCCCAAAAGGAACAATAGGCTATATAAGATCTTGATCGGATGCCACGCCCGATTTTTATAAAACTATCCTTACCTATATCTTATCCTATAATTATATGAAAGAGAATGTCTGTTTGTTACACTTTCACGGACATGAAATTTCGAACACTAATAGTTCTATTCTAAAGTAGAACAAGAGCCTATATAAAATAATGATTTGACGTCACGATTCTTATTATGCTCACTTTTTTCTATATAATTGTTATACAAAATTTGCATTCGAGACTTACAGAAAACTACTGAACCGATAGGTCTTATCTCAGGATCGGACGCCACGCCCCTTTTTACACCAACTTTTTGTAAAACAATTATTAAACCAAATTTACGTTCAGGCATACAAAAAACTACTGATCCGATTTTCATGAAATCTATTATAATGAATGTTGTGGTATGAACAGTACGACACATTACATCTTCAAAACCTATAATCCTATATCCTATCCTATCCTATATATATGTATATAAAACAGACTGTTTGTTTGTTTGTGTGTTTGTTTGTTACGCTTTCACGGCAAAACTTCTGAACCGATTTACATGAAATTTGGACCGCTAATAGGTCTAGCCCCAAAAGGAACAATAGGCTATATAAGATCTTGATCGGATGCCACGCCCCTTTTTACGCCCACTTTTTGTAAAACTATTATTACACCGATCTTCCAATCACAATATGCAAAAACTACTAAACCAATTTACCTGAAATTTTGCATACCGATAGTTATAAGTCTGAAAGAACTATAGGCTATATATGAGATAGTGATCCGATGCCACGCCCCTTTCTACGCCCACTTTTTATAAAATTATCCTTACCTATATATTATCCTATAATTATATGAAAGAGAATGTCTGTTTGTTACGCTTTCACGGACAAACTACTGAACCGATTTACATGAAATTTAGAA